CTCCTAAATTCTTTGTGACACCAAAACTGTCCTCAGATCCAGGGCTCCAGGTCTCCTGCAATAATCTTTCACCTGAAGTTTTTAATTGCTATACCAGGCTGCTTTCCTATAATGAACTGCTCAATAATAAACATAGGAGGCCATTGTTTTGCATGAGGTCCTTACCCTAGGCCCCAAGAAGAAATCTAAAAACCAAAATGGAGTCACTCACACAAACTATCACATCACTCCACCAAAACAAGACTGAACTGTTTCTCTTACTTTCCAAAAAACCAGGAGAAATAAGAGGTAATGGCTAAGTCTCCCTCAGGCTGGTTCCATTTGGCGTGACAATGAAGTTCCTTCTGTCTTTTTTGCTTTTGCTATTTTTTAAGGAACCAGGAATTGAACTCAGGACCTTGCGCTTGTCAGGCCGACACTTACACCACTGAGTTATATTCCTGACTGATCTTCGTTTTTGAGGCAGGGTTTCCCTTGTGTTCCAGTTGAGTCTCCTGCCTCAGCCTCCGAAATCCTGGGATTACAGGCATGTGCCTCCATGGCCAGCTAAATGACTTCTATTTTAATCCTCAAGAAAAAAATCTTATGTTAACCAGTCAGGTATATTTTTATTGTTCTGTCTCCCTGTTTCCCACTTGACAGGGAAAGCAACTTCAAAATGACTAATCTGCTTTGTGTTCTTAATTTCTGATTTTTGCAGCTCTTTTCTGTCTATAAAAAGCATGTTCTCTGCTCAGCCCATTGAAAGACTTGGTCTAGTTTGCAGAATGAAGGCTCCTGATTCTGAAATTGAAGATAAAGCCCATTAGGACCTTTAAATTGGGTAGCTGTGATCTTATACTTTTTAAAAAAATTTTATTTATTTATTTATGTGTGTGTGTGTGTATGTGTGTGGCCAGCTCTGCCCACTGGGGGCGGGGCTGGCTGGCTTGTGGTGCTGGGGGATTGAACTGCCGTCCCGGTGCTTTGCCAAGCTTGTTCCAAGTAGGTGCTTTAGACCACTGAGCCATCTCACCAGCCCTGTGGTCTTATACTTTGACAGATTACACAAAGCATGTTGAGGTCCTCTCTGGTGGTCACTGTCTTCCCAAGACTCCTCAGACCCCTAGATGTGCTTTCCGTCTTCATCCTGGGATCCATGCTGCGGTGGTGAGGGAGTAGCCAGCCCAGCAGCCTGGGCGGGGCCTTGCCCTGCTGCCACCTGGTGCAGCTTCCAATCCTGCAGAGTTTTGGGCCTCAAAACACACCCTAAGCACTTACCTGGCAAATGCAGGGGCCTGAGTTCAATCCCCAGTACCACAAAAAACAACAACAACAACAACAACAACAACAACCCCACAAAAAACTAAAAGAAAACAAACAGTGCTATTTCCTAAAGATGACAAATTTGGGGGCTGGGGAGATGGCTCAGTAGAATAAGCGCTTCCCTGGCAAGTGCAAGGGCCTGAGTTCAATCCCTGGTTCCACCAAAAACCAAACCAAGGGCTGGTGAGATGGCTCAGTGGTCTAACGCACTTACTTGGAACAAGCTTGGCAAAGCACAGGGACTGCAGTTCAATCCCCCAGCACCACATGCCAGCCAGCCCCGCCCCCTGGTGGGCTGAGCTGGCCACACACAAAATAAATAAATAAATAAACAAATTAAAAAACAAAACAAAAACAAAAACCAAACCAAACCAAAACAACAAAAAAACCACACTCTACTTTCTTGTCTTCACCTGTTCATGCTGTCCTGAGCATGGTACAGGTACAAGCGCAGGCAGAATATCTCTTATTTAAAGTGCTTGAATTAGCAGTGTTTCCAATTTGGGATTTGTCCCGCATTTTGGAAAATTTGCATATATAATGAGATTTCTTGGGGAGCCAAGTGGAAACACAAAACCTGTCTTTTACCCACAGCGTATCACCTCGCTCGAGGGTAGTTTTGTATACTAGGACTAGTGTGCTTGTGTTCTGACTGAGCTGTTTCATGAGGTCCGTACTGAAATTTCTACTTGTGGGGTCATGCTGGCAGTCAGTTTCAGGCTTCAGATGAGGTGTGCTCACCTTGTATTGGCTCATTTAATTCTACCCCATGCTGAGATACTATTTTTGTGCCCATTTTTCAAGTGTGGAAGTTGAAGCTCTGAGAAATCAGACTAGGCTGGCCTGGTAGTCAGTGCTGAGGCTGGCAGGCAGAGGTCAGACTTTCTCCATTCTATTCCTCCTCTGGTCCCAGCACAAACAGGGAAAAGGTGAAGCTGCCTGAAAGACAAGAGCGGTTCTGGGGTAAGCTGGCCACAGGCCCCTGGGAAGTGCCCTTGGGAAGCCCCAGAGCAGGTCGTGCTCTGCTCAGTCTGGGCCGGTGTCCCGGGCCTGTCCTCGGAAGGCAATGGGAGAAATCTGGGCCAGGACACAGGGCAGTGCTCACCCCTGTTCTGTGTCCTTCTCTGCTCATCTCGATGCGCACAGAGTAGGCACCCCCACAAAGAATCCCCCCCCCCCCCAAATGCATGCCAATCTGTCAAATTACAAGAGCACAGCTACCCAATTTAAAGGTCCTAATGGGCTTTATCTTCAATTCCAGAATCAGGAGCCTTTATTCTGCAATTTTTTTTTTTTTTTTTTTTTTTTTTTGCAGTACTGGGGATTGAACTCAGGACCTTGCGCTTGCCTGGCAAGTGCTTAGAGTATGTTTTGAGGCACAAAACTCTGCAGGATGCAGTCAGGATACAGTCAGAAGCCACTGTAGGAATGGGAGATGGGCAAAGTCCCGAGCCTTACCCGGTGTCACTGAGAATGATTTGTTCTGTCAGGATGGTCAGGGACTTGACAGTTATTTTTGCTATTAACTATTGCTCTTCACTTGGGCCTCCACATGTCCAAGAGGCAGCTAAGCTCAGAATAAACCTTGACCTTCATTTTGCAGCCTTTACTACTCCAACTGTGGGTCAGGCCTCCTCTACAGCACAGGGCATGCCAGTCACCTGGAAGGATGCAGGAGCTGACCTGACAGGTGGGCTAGTCCTGAGTTCACAGGGTCTCGCTGCCCTTCAATACTGAGGACCCCAAGACAAGAGGCTCACAAGACCTCATGCCCTCCGCATGCTGCTCCGCACTTGTGAGGCCCTAGTGAGGAAAACTGACCTGGCTAACTGTTGCCCTAGAAACAAACCACTCAGAGCTATCTGTGGCTCCAAGAAATCAAAACTCTGGGCTCTGGGAAAGGAGGTGCAGAGACTGAAAGAAGCACACAGTCTGTTCCTGGAAATGAGGAACAGGCTCTGGAGCTGCGAAGCCACAGTGTTGGCCTGAACCCTGCAGCCAGTCCTCTCTCACCCCATCACTGGCCTTTCTCCCTTGGGATGTCCTCTGGTGGAGTGGCTCAGATGTGTCTGTCACCAAGCATGGGGTGCATGCCTGTAATCTCCATACTCAGGAGGCTGAGGCAGGAGGATCACCATGATTTCAAGGCAGACAGGGAAAGCCCGTCTCAAAACCAAACAAACAAATAACAAAAGCAAAACCCACTGTTAGGGGACGGGGAGATAGCACAGTTGAATAAGTGCTTGCCTGGCAAGTGCAGGGTCCTGAGTTCAATCCCCAGTTCTGCAAAAAAACTCAAAAACAAACAAAAAAAAGAAACCAAAAACAGAAAAACCCAGTCTCTCTAGTCATACAGATGACTACATAGTTGTTGTTCTCCCCATTGAGAAGACCCTAACTTGCCTCCTCTTGTCAGTGCAGTAGCTTCTCCCGAGTCTAGTGGGTGGTCACTTGTAAGGCTAGAGTCACAAGGAGAGGCCACATGGACACGTCTCTGAAAAGTCCACCATCTCCAGCTGAGGGCAGGCACTGTCTTGGCCTCTGGTCCAGATGAACTTCTCTGCTGCTGTGGGACCCCAAGAAAGCCCACACAGGGCTGCCAGCTGGGCCCTGTCAGCCCACAGGACTGGAAAGGTCACAGTGCAGCCTAAACTATTGAGTTCTGAGTGGTCTGTTTCTAGGGCAACTGGTAATGGGAACAGTCTTTCTCATCTGGGCCGATGGTGCCCAGAACAGGGGTGGTGTATTTGTCACCCCAACTCTGACCCCAGCTCAAGTTCTGCCAAGGAGCAAGTGCCCATCAAATATCACCTGAAGGAAAGAATGAAGCTGCTCAGAGCCCAGTGCTCACCCTGAGATAGAATAGATTTATTAGCAAGAGGTAATCAGGAAACATATGTTTACAAAAGTGGAAATTTCTTTTTTCCAAACAAGCTGTAAGTTGAAATATTTTAGGACTTGAAATAGAATTCTCATACCACTAGGTATTGCTTACAGCAAAAGTTGTCTGTCGGAGTGGAGCATGCCTGCCACTTCTGAGTGGACCTGTGTTCTCTATACTGTACACTGTAAAAAATACATGGTAATATTCACAGAATAAGCACTACAGTACTATATTCCTGCTAGAAGGCATTTAGACAGGACTACAGTATATGCAATAAAAACACTTGGTTATTGATTTCCTAATTCTACAGTGTGGTACTAATTATCACAAGGTATACATACTTAGAGCATCTCAATGTAAGCTTGTGGTGACCGTCAGGCGGCTCAGAGAGGAGGAAAAGTGATATTTTCATGTCCTGACTTCCAGTGAGTACTGGGCAGCGGTTGGCAAAGGTCGCTGATTTGGTGTTAGTTACATTTTCCTCAGAAGTTCTTGGGTCTGTCCACTCTGTGGAGATTGCTTTTCATGCGATCTGCCGTGAATCCTAGAGCGAGGAGCGACGTGACACCAGGGAGGCAGCCTTGGTGTGAGGGCACACCTCAGCAGGGAGGACTCCCTTCAGCCAGCTTACCGTAGGGAGGCAGCTTACTGAGAGAGCTGCGATTTTGGCTGAAAAAGCTGCTTTGGAAACTGGCGTCGCTGTCAGCAGGAAGAGCTGTCAATGACTGGACTTGAGGCTATGGCACCCCCTCCCACCTCCCCCCACCCACCCATTCCAACAGCTGCAGAGGTCATGCTGGGAGGATGCCCAGAGCGGCCAGGGCCTGGGCTCTGGGGAGAGAGGACAAAGCAGGCCTGGAGCTGAAGACTCCGGCCAGTGGGTGCCACCTCCCCGCAGGTCTGGAGGGTGGATCAGGAGGACAGTGTTTGAAGAAACAGGCACTGCAGGGTCAGAGTCTGAGATGGTGCAGAAACTCATATTCCAGGTCTATAGGAACCTAAGTACAGGAACGGATCTGTAGTCTTGGAGAAGCACATACTGAGGAGGAAAATCCAGAGAAACCAAACAAATATGTACACTATCATATAGCACATGTCCACACGAGGGGCTGGGTCTGGCTGGAGCTTCAGGTGGGGAGTTTAGGTTCTATTCGGAGAGAAGACTCATAGAGGCTCTCTTCGTCCATCACAGAAGACTGGTCCAGTAGATACTGGGTTACCTGAGAAGAGGGGAGAGAGGAAGGGCAGAGTTATAGGGCCTTCGTGAGGGATGACTCCAGACCTGGGTGACTCTGGGACCAAAAGCCCTCATGGGGAGGGCTCAGGACAGCACATGAGGCAAGAGATGCATTCAGTCATGCTTCAGCTCAGGAGAACTTGCCATTGCATTGCTGTTTAATATTGTCTTAATGCTTGTCTGGACAGTGATGCTAACCCTAAATCAGGCTGGGGTGCACTAAGTGGTAGTGTGTGTAGAAGGCTCTGGATTCTACCCACAATATCACACAGGCATAAAATACTAGTTTAAAAATTCCACGTGGATCCAGTGTTGTGATACATGCCTGTAATCCCAGCACTCTGGGAGGTTTGTAAGTCTAAGTCCAGCCCGGGCAACCTCATGACTTACTGAGATCCTGCCTCAAAAACAAAATAACTAGATATAAATAAAATAGCTAATATCTTTTTAAAGTTATAGTTTATATCTAAATGTTTCCCAAAAACCTCATGAGCTAAGAGATGGGGCTTTGGAGAGTGATGGATCATAGGTGTGATGACCATATTGACTTATTGATCAGCTCAGCATATTCTGGACATAGACCAGAACAGCCCATCCTCAGGTTAGGGTCTTCTCTTTCCTCTTCCTCTCCACTCACTCTTAATTCTACATGAAATGTCCTGCGAGAGATCAGAATGCACACTTCCAGGAAGCCCCCACTCTAGACTCCTTCTGAGGTTCACTGTCAGTCAGTTGGAACCAAACACCTCCACCTAATATGAGTAAAAAAGAAATAATTATATTTTTCTTATTATGTGTTTGAGAATCTTCTAATAGTTAGTGGAGAAAAATTAAGCCTGTTGTCTCAGTTGCTCTTCTCTCGTTGCTGGGCCAAATACCCAACACCCAAAATGAAGGAAGCAAAGGTTTATTTAGCTCAGTTACTGGAGGTTTCAGTCCATACTCAGCTGGCTCCAAGGCACAGTATCACAGGGCAGAGAGCAACCATTTATTGCAGTGACAAAGTGCAAGAGAGCAGAGGGAGTGGCGGCGGCTCAGGCAGCTAGCTGGCTTCTCTCCCCTGCTTACACTGTAATGCAGAGTGTCTGCCCAGGGCACTCCAGCCACAATCCCAGCATTGGATCAAGAATCAGTCACAGACTCTGGAAGCCAACTCATGGCTGCTTGAGACTTTGGTGGTGGTGGTAGGGGGGAGATACCTATACACAAACCATAACACCTATATTTATTTATTTTTTTTAAATATATTGCATTTTTTTAATATTTATTTATTTATTTGTGTGTGTGGCCAGCTCAGCCCACCAGGGGGTGGGGCTGGCTGGCATGTGGTGCTGGGGGATTGAACCGTGGTCCCTGTGCTTTGTTAAGCTTGTTCTAAGTAGGTGCTTTAGACCACTGAGCCATCTCACCAGCCCCCCATAACACCTATATTTTAAAAAAAATTTTTGTTTTTGTTTTTGGTACTAGGGATTAAAACCAAGGCCTTGGCAATGAGCTACATCCTTAGCCCTTTATTAATTTTTTTTTTCTCTGTGTGTGTGTGGAACCAGGGATTGAATTCAGGCCCTTGTGCTTACCAGGGAAGCTCTTGTTCTACTGAGCCATCTCCCCAGCCCCCTTTCTTTTTTTCAGAGAGAGTCTCACTAAGTTACCCAGGCTTGGCTTAAACTTGCAGCCCTCCTGCCTCAGCTTCCCAGAGTGCAAGCATGTACCACCATGCCTGGTTCTGGATTGTTTTCTGTCCTCCTCTGTGAAGTTCACATCCAGCTGTGAAACATATTGATTAAAAGTCACAGATGAGATGATGATGAAAAGATTTTTTTTCCAATGTTGGAGACTGAACCGAAGGACTTATACATGCTGGGCAAATATTCTATCACTGAGCTATAGCATTAGCTTGGAATGATTATTACTGTCTGATTAAAGGCTCACACTAGCACCTCTAGGAAGATGACTTTGGGTATCTCAGTAAGGCTCAACCCATACTGATGAGAGATGCTGCACTTTGTGGCCCTGTGACCCAGGCTAGCCTTGCAGCCCTCGCTAGCCACTCTGCATCCTTTCGGAGATGCCACCTGCCAGGAGGCCTCACAAGGGCCCAGCAGGTACTGATGCCACAGCTGGAACCTTCAGAACAGTAAGCCAAATAAATCTTATTTCTTTAAAAAGGACCAGGCTGAGGTGTTTGTAGCAGTAAAGGGATCAGAACGATGCACTGAAGGAACAGGAATACTAGGTTTCTTGTTACAGGTTAACATGTCCCTAAAGAGTGTTTGCCAGGGCCATGCTGTCAGGAAGCTGGGTTTTCTGACCTGATCACCATGTTACTTAAGTTACAGCCAGTAATATTCCTTCTTTCTGGTGAATCTGACTTTTGGGTGTACTCAAGCTTGAGGCCCATGGCTTTATATACCTCTGTCCTTGCCCCAAATCTACTTCTGCACAGTGACAGCTGCATCAGATCCTGCTCCCGCTCTTCCCAGGGCCTCGCCCCTCATGGCTCATGTCCTGGGCAATGCTTTTACAGACTACTTTGGACAAAGGTGTCACCCTCCATTATGACATCTGTCCCAGATTTGCACAAGAACTTTTAACAATCAAGGCAGGCAGGAGCTTGGCAGAAGGTACTATAGCTGTGGGAGGCTTTGGTAGGATCTAAGCTTTGGTCTTCCTTTGTAAGCTGAGTAGCTCAAGGTTCAATGCACAGTGCCACACATAAGTAGACACACACACACACACACACACACACACACACACACTAAATATGTATAATGTATATAAAACTAGAGTGGAATTCTTCTTCTTCTTTTTTGAGGCAGGGCCTTACTATATAGTCCTATGAGTTTAAACTCTGGCTTTGAACTCATTATGTAGTCCAAGCTGGCCTGAACTCATGACAATTCTCCTACCTCAGCCTCCTAGATTACAGGCTTGTAGCGCCATGCCTGGCCCAAGTTCACCTATTTCTTTTTTACTTTTTCTTCCTTTTTTTTTTTGCAGTGCTGGAGATCCAACTCAGGACCCTCCTTGTGTAAGAGTTTGACCACTGTTAGAGAAGCTGTATTTGGAGAAGTCTTTAAAGGCCCTTTTCATACTTGATGCTGGTCCAAAGATTTCAGGCACTTGAATTCAGCAAAATAACCCAATATAGACCAACAGTCCTTAATAGTAGTGAGTTATCAGCACATTTAGCAATTGTCCAAAGTTGTTGACTTGAGCCTTTACAGCTCAGCATATTAATATAACTTTACTTTTTATACCTCATGGTTACACTTTAATGGCTTCTCTAACAGCAATGGAACACCCATCTCTGACAAAACAAAGCAAAAAAGGGGGATTATAAAAAAGGGCCATTTTGTTGTGAAAAAAATATGTATGTATATACAAGATAGTTAAGATAGATATACAGCTACTTTCTCTTAGTTCAGTGAGAAGAAAAGCTTGTACTAATATTGTTTAGACAAGATATCATGTCTGTATCTTGTCCTCTGAATAACTACTAGGAAGACAACAATATGCAATGTATTAATTATTATAACTGTCCTACTAACCTGTTTTGAAACTGTTTCATTACTATTTTATCTTTTTTTCTCATTAAAATGAATTAAAAAAAGTTTGACCACTGAGTTATTTCCCTAGTCATTGGCTCCTTGGAACATTTAAAATGACATACATAGTTTGCATTATGTTTCTAGTGGGAGAGCCACTGTAGACATTTCTTCCAGTATTTATACCTGTTCTTCTGTTAACTGCTTTTGGAATTGTCTGTTTTCCTGCCAAGTGGTTTGTGTTACTCTTTGGCTGTAGTTTCCCTAAATTTCCTCGGAGGGTTTGACACTGTTCCTGCTTGCCAGGAAGAGAAGCCACTTGGCCGGTTGCAGCACCTCTTTGAAAGGGGCTTCCCCACCCTCAGCACCCATGTCCTGCCTCCCTGCCTCCTTCCAGATGCAGAGCAGAGTCTCAGCAGGCTGTTCTCAACCCCAGCAAAGCTGCCGGGCTGCACCTGCTCTGTGTGACTCAGTGTTCAACACCCCAGTGCTGGTTCAGGGTGGGGACAGAGCAGGAGGTTTGAACCTGCTCTCCACTCTTTGTGCCTCAGCCCATTGGACGTCCAGATCCATCCTGTAGGAGGAAGACTTGAGGCCACTTCACCACCTCCACATGTTTGGCTGTCTCATGAAGAAACTGTTTCTATTTTGCACAGCCCCTGGTTGTGCAGCTGGAAATGCATGCAGCAAAGCCTGTGGGAAAGCCTGTGGGGAGGTGTTTCTCTGGGCCTTGTCCAAAGCAAGAAGATGATGGGCTGGGTCTCTGTCAGCACAAAGGAGGTGAAGTGAACAGATTCTCTGCAGCCACAAAGGCTGAGGTGTCTGTCCCAGAGCCATCTGAGACATATTATTAAGGAGAAAAAGAATGAGCTGAGGAATACGTGGAGATTGCAGTGTAGAACGAAAAGTGCACTTGTGTTTGTGGACGACTTGGAACACAGACCCCCAAAATACGGGACACTGTGGCCTGTGGGAGGGGCATCTGTGAATTTCATGACTTGTGAACATAGCACTTTTCAAAAAGGCATGTTTACACCCTGACTCCCTTGCACTGGGAGCTTGGGCCTGGTTATAAGCCAAAGGTCAAAGTGCAATACACACCCAACAGGAATAAGGGATAGCTTTTTCCTGCTGGGGACAGGGCGTGAGGAAGGCATCCTTATAGGGAGGGCGTCAGGACTTAGGACAGGAGCCTGTGCTGGAGAGGAAGGAAAGGGCTGAGCCAGCACAGGAGCCGGATGGGCGGGGTACCATCTTACCTTTGCTTGGTGCTCGATTTTATAGGCAGTTTGCTGGAACTGGCGTATCTCTCGGATAATGTGGGATATCTGCGGGAAGGCAGGGAGTTTAGAAGATGGCCTGCTCGCTCTGGGCCACCTCACTTTGAGCAATTCAGTTTTTATTTTGAAAGAGTTGTGTTAAATTGCCAAGATTAGGCTCAAATCTGTGATCCTCTCCATTCAACCTCCCAGAGAGCTTGGATTGCAGGTGTGTGTCAAGGCCAACAAGGGTTTCCTGAAGCCAGCAACCTGCTTCCACAGGAGACACTTTTAAGCCTACAGCTAACTGTGCTAATGTGGCTGAGAAGGGAAACCCTAGCCTCTCTTTTAAATCAGTGGCTCAATGACCCCACCCTGGAAACAGAACCCTGGGAGACTAGCCAGCCCAGTGGGTACTGCATGTGATGTGGGAGGCCTTGGCTATGGTCACAACAGCATGTCCCACTGGTGCTTGACAGAGAAACACACGAACATAGAAGCCCCTTGTACAGAACTGGTGAGGGCAAGGCTCTCCAGTTGGAGCAAGGAGAAGCCGTGGGCTTCTCAGGCCCCTCCCCAGTCCTGCGTTTTGTGGAGTTTGAAGTACGTAAAGTGTGTGCTGCACACAGTTTCCCTGAGCAACGTGAGAGGAGTGCGGCTGGGGGTGCAGCTTACGGTCCCTGAGCTCCAGACCAGGCTCTCCCTTCTACATGTGGGGTGACCTTGGGCCAGCCCTCAGCCTTGAAAGCCTCACTCTACTCATCACATAGCAGGGTCCTGCCTCTCAGCCTGACCAAGTAAAGGGGCTGTGCAGGGCAAATACTGGTGCCCACCCAGTGCTGGGGCCTGAAGATGTTGAGTTTGGGGATCCTGTCCCCCAAAACGTACCATCCTCATCTTGGAGAAGTTGACCAGGCCATCCTCTGTGTAGTTTGGTGTCCCCTCCTCGATGAAGGCCAGGTCAGTGAGGTACATTCCCAGGTAAGGGACACAGGGCGGGTCACAGCTTGGGAGCAAATGGCATTCACAGAAAATGTTCACTTACAAGAGCAACTGCCAAGAACACAGGACCCCCCACATGCACCTTTCCTTGGCTAGAGGCAGAGGATTTCCATTTGCCAGGGAAAAAGCAAAGCTCAGGCCTCAACTGCCAGCTGGAACAGTGGTCTGCACTCTGGGGAGGATGATAAGGGGCTACCTGGGCCTCAACCTGCTGTCTCTTCTCCACTTCTGCCTGGCCACGAGCCACCCCACCTAGGCCTTCCCCCCACACTGAGCAGCCCATCCTCAGTGCCCACAGCATCCTGCCTGCCTCCTCTATCAGGGACCCCATGGCAATGCTGGCCCTGGGAGAGCACTTTCCTGGGAGTCACTGGAAAGTGATGGGGCGTCTCTGTGCATTTTCTGGAGATACAAGCTGGTATGAGAGCCACACCTAGGGCAGGCAGGAGCTATGCCAGCATCCACAGCCCCTGTGCTCTGGACTCCTTTTGGTCCTCTGGAGCACCTACAGAATGCTCTGCTCCTTTCTTTCCCAGATCCTTGTCTCCTCAGGCTTCCAGACAACCCAGCCATGCTGGCAGGAGGCGAGGCAGTGAGGCAGAGAGAGAGAGCAAGATCTGGCCCTGTCCCACTCTTGCTGCCAAGGGGCCCTGGGCTGGGCTGGTGCCTCTGGAGCTCAGCACCTTATGTCCATAGATGGCAGCAAAGAAAGCCTGGGGGTGTCTAGGCCTGACCCTAAGGAGCCTAGAGTCCCAGCTGTCCCTTCGCACCCAGAGACGCTGCATTTGGTGCTGCATGGTGTGATTCTCCCAACACCAGCACCTCCTCCCGTTGTTTTTTCCTTTTTAAGCAATAGCAACAGGTCTGTATCTGAGTTGAGAAGCATTAACACTCAGAATTTAATAACACTTCTTTCCTTTTATATTTTTTCATGATAATCTTACAGTTACAGTAAGTATGCCAGGTTTGCCATTTATTTCCATGATATAGAACTTACTTATTTAAATATTTTTGAAGGAAGTGATTTAATTTAAAGGAGACTGTTAAGTAAACCCAGTTGGCACAGGGTTGAAGCTAAAATAGAGTATAGGGGACTCGGTGACAGGTTTTCTAGCTGTGGCTTTTTTGTGGCTGTCAGGATGAATTTAGTGGCTGTCGGCTACATTAAACAGAATGGAACAGTGTGGGAAATACTGAGTTCACCGCATGGAATAAGAGCAAATGTTTGTGAAACCTTTGTTCTTAGGCACATATATATATATATACACATTTACGTATCAGATTGTGATTTCAAATTACATATTATTAAGTGCCTGCTTAAGCAAAGCAGTCAGGCTCAGAATTCTGTGGTTTGATTCCCAGATCCTCATGCCTTACCAGACCTGCCCTTAAGGCATCCTGAGCCAGCCAGAAAAAAAAAGTCCTTCAAATTACATATAAATGTGTGCACAGCAGTGCTGGACCTGAACCCGGGGCCTCCAGCCATGCCGGCAGGAGGCAAGGCAGTGAGGCAGAGAGAGAGCAAGACCTGGCCCTGTCCCACTCTTGCTGCCAAGGGGCCCTGGGCTGGGCTGGTGCCTCTGGAGCTCAGCACCTTATGTACATAGAGCTACTTGTATGCTAGGCAAGTGTCTATCACTGAGCTCCACTCGCCCAGCCCACATGCGTATTGCATACCTATAAATACGCACAGCTGTGGTTAGGGGTAGAACAGGTGTTCTATCACTGTTCCTCTTATGCATCCCCCTCCCCTTCACATGACAAGGGGTGCGGGTAGCCCTGGGGAGAGAGGCAATGAGGATTCAGAGACCTTAACACTCTCTGGGTCTCTCACAGCTCAGCCCAGAGATGGCCAGGGCAGGTTTCCCTGACATGGAGGGGAGGCCATCTAGCTACAGGAATGTGGACAGCATGCAGCTGCCTGTTCAACTCTGTCCTCACCTGGCACCTTGGTGAGGGCCTCAGAGGGTGCTACAGCACTCTGATTGGCAATGCTTTTCTGCCCACACATGCCCAGAGCCAGTGGGCACAAGGACCACCCAGAGACCCCACAGATGCCTGCCTGGGGCCAGAACCCTGCTGCGCACTGGAAGGGGAGGAGCATGCAATGCTCAGGCCCTTTCCCTGGGGGTGCTGTGGCCCCACCCATCTGGGAGCCTGCCTCATCCACAGCCTCAACTCATTCAAACAGCTCTCAAAGGCCTGCTGCCTGCAAGGTGTGGTACTGAGGAACGAGGCCGTGTGGCTGAATGCCTGGCCCTGGGGCTGAGTCTCTGGCATATGCAGTGGATGATCAGGTGCTGGGAAGAGAGAATGTCATCACAGGGGGCCCCTGCTTACTGCTACTGAGACACCAGCTGCTTTGTCATGGGCAGAAGAAGGCACTTGGCCTCTGGGTGGCGGCAACCACAGCCTTATGTCTCTACCCTACTCTCCAGTGCCAGGTTGGCCCAATAGGCAGCTGCTTTCAGGGTCCACCAGAGACATCCCACCCTTAATTCAGGAGAACAGCCTAGGATGGACACTGCTCCCATGTTCCTCTGAGCCAGGGATTTCCCCCTTGAATCAAGACAACAGGGGCAGATATGCTGTGTGCTGGCTGGGCTGAGGCAGGGCAGGCAAATGGAGCTGGCCTTAGAAGGACTGCCAAGCTTAGTTCTTGGCTGCATTTTGTACACAGAGCTGTAGGAAGGCTCTGGTCAATGAGAGGGTTCTGGGAGGGACTGAGAAGAGGAGACAGGGTCACTCTTGTGTTCCTAGGCAGGGAACTGAAGAAGTGAGTGTGGCCAGGAGTGTGGGTGGGCCAGGTGTGTTGGAGAGCGTGGCTGGGAGGCTGGCATGTGGCATTTGAGAGTGGGACCTTAGCTGATAAGGCCGCAAGCCATTCTGCTGCAGCTGCTGGCAGGAGGTTGCTGGTTTTAATACCAGGCTGGACATGATTCCCAGGGAAATATGAATGGGGCTGCAAGCCCTACAGGAAGGCTTGGGTGGGATCCTTGTCTGAGAAATTCATCTGGAGCACCTGCAGACTACTACCTCACTCCTGTGTTTCTCCTCGCCTGGTGACACAGATCCCCAGGGCTTCTGTGACCTTGCTGCATATGAACACCTTAGCATATCTGGCCAGCCCTCTGTATCCATGAGGCTGGCCTGTCTGGCACACAGATCTCAACTCCCAGGCCTGCTGAAGACCAGCTCTGTCCCATGCTGCCAGCAGCAGAACACCAAGGAAGCACTCAGACAGACCCAAAGGAACCTGAAATGAAAGACAGCCAGGAGGGGCTCAGACAGAAGGGGCCACCAAGGCAGCACAGATGGCAGCAGGGCTGTGTGGAGAGCAATCAGTGAGGAAGGAGATGGGGTAGTGATGGGGACAGACAGACAAGTGGAGAATGTAGGGGGGGGCTCCCCCCACAGGGAGCCTGGTGGAGGAGAGGCAGCCAGATAGCACAGATGTGGCAGCATCCATCGGAAGTCCAAGTGCAGATAGTGAAGGCAATGGCACACAGAGCTGGGGAGGGTGGCTGAGAGTGGCAGGAGGACCTGAGAGGCAGTGGGCAGGTGGACTGGGCTATGCAGCATGTCCATGCTGATGTTCAGGGCCACAGGCTTCATTTGTCCAGGGTCCTGGTGCCAGGGCAGTGATGTAGCAACCCCAGCGGGCACCTCAGGGAAGCAGATTCCTTGGAACCAGACACTCTTGGGGCCTCCCAGAGGCTTCCCAAGGTGAGCAATTACCCAGGCAAGAAGAAAAAGGGATGCCACAGGAGTCATCAAAAAAAGCTGGAGGAAGTGCCTTGTGGGCTGGTAAGGGCCAAGCCCACAGTTTGCAAGGGTGCAAGGCCACAAGGCATGCACAGCAGTCAAGCTGCTGCTTCCTGAGGAGGCCTCGGCCCAGCCAGTCAAATAGCACTGGTCTTACTGCTGGACCAGGTGCAGTTCAGGCCATGGTGCTGAGGCCACGTGTGCTTGGCCCTCGCTCCTCAGCTTGCATCTGGAAAAGCGGGCCTGGAGGAGTGGCACTGCCTGAAGTGCTGCTCAGGACCTGCTGAGCGCAGGGCATCCTCCACAGCAAAAGCCTCCTGGCCCAAATCGTGTGCATGGGCCACAGGTGCGATGGTCAAGGGGGCTCTCTGCAAACTGTAGGCCTGATTCGCTCTAAAATTACATTTTGTGATTCCAAGATGGTACTCTCTCTAATATGCTCTCTAGTTTTGACAACTAATTCTCAAGTGTACAAGGAAATACAACCAGCGTAACTAAACCACTGAGTGGAAGATATAACCTGATTCAGAATTATTCAAGTACAAAAAAGTACTTTTGAATGCCGCAGCTGTTGTGACTGCTAGGATTCCTGTGCTGCTCCCAGAAAGTGCCACCAGCCCCAGATAGTGGGAAAAGCTGATCCAACATGGAGGCCATGAACTCTAGGGGTCTTGGGGTAGACGGGACAGGCAGGCAGCAGACAGACATCCTTCCCGGGCCATATGGCTTGGCCAGGCCTCTGCAGAGCAGGTCTATATTTTAAACATAACAGTGACAAAATGACACATGACTTACTTTTTCAGAGCTTCTCTGAGATTCTTAAATCTGCCCTCTGATGACACAAGCTTTTGGAGCTTATCAATCAAGGCCTTTGTCTAGAAGGAATTAGAAGCATTTGACACACAGCAGGTGTCGAGGCCCACGGCCCTGGCCCCACTCCAGCATGCTGCCATATTTGCCTTGTATCTGGGCCTCCTGTGCCTGCCAGTGTAACCCCCAGCCTCCTCCAGAATCTTCATTTTTCTGTCTGCCTCTGCACATCACTCAGAATGCAGAAGCTGGAGTGGGGTCTGAGCGTGCACAGCCTCGGGAACGTAGGGGGCCACAAGGAGGTCTGTGCATCAGAAGGCCCTGGTGGTGACCCCAAGCTTGCATCTGGGCCACGACTGGGATCTCCTTGGGATCTGCACCCAGACAATATGTACATCTTCTCACACCTTCATTTGGGGTGCCAGGAACACCGCCCAAATTTAAGAACCAAAAGAAAAGACAAGCGATTGGTCACAAGAATAAAAGGCTTGGCAGAGAAGAAAGTCCACAGTAAGAGTTTGCCCAATGAGAAAGCCCACACAGGCTGGTTTGGGACCCCTGAGGTTAGAGACTGGCTACACAGGCCAGTTGTACTCCACAGAGTATATTGCCTTGGTCTGGCTTCAAGCTCCTCTCCCAAGGAGGTCTAGGAAAATCCCTTTACCTCTAGGGTCCTTACTGCCCTGGTGTATAAAATGTGAACTTGATCAGTGCTTCCTTCCCAGAGTTGATTCTCAAAATCCAGAATGTGGCTAAGAAACTACTCAAAATGGCTGTGTGCCACACGACCAGAAGTGCTAAGCACCTGGAGGAGACATGGCCCAGGGGCCAAGAGGTGCCCAGTCGTGAAAAGGCCTGGAGTCACCATCTATAACTGTAGCACTCTGGGGAGTCGAGGCAGGAGGCGCTGGGTCTGGTGAACTTGGTAGTGTAGCAAGACCCTATCTCAAAATAAATAAAAAGCTAAAAAACAAAGTACGTGCTCAGTGTTTGAGCCAGATTTTATCTCCTTGCTTAACTGTGAAAATGACAACTAAAGTCTCCTTGCTGATGGAAAAAGAGATGGAGGTGGGGCAGAGTAGCCCTGTGGTTCCACACCGACGTGTAGCGACCCTCCTGGCCCTCATCCACGTGCACAGAGGACGCGTGTGCGGTGGCTCTGTGGGCTTGGCCCCTTAGGAAGTCCATGGCCAAGGCACCACCCTAGTCCCCGCATAGCCCCAGTGTGCCACCCCAGGAATGGAGGACAGTCCGGAGGCGGCACCAGTTCAGACAGTGTAGATGGAGGAGAGACAGAGGCTGGGTCAGGAGGTCCTCAAAGCTCTTGGTGAAGCATTTCCTGGGCTTTGAGGCCACAGGAACACACAGAGGCCATTCTGATGTGTGGCTTTCCTATTCCCCTCAGGACAGAGATCAGCTGTGACTCTGACTGAGCACATTTTGATTCCTTCCATGTCTCTGAGCTCACTGTGTCACCTGCTTGTCCTGGGCTGTCAAACTAGGTCAGGGAAGAGTTAAGTGGCCTGGGAAGCTGCAGCATTTTCCCAGGTGCTCTCACAAGGGTGCTCCAGTCTCTGGCTGAGTCAGCAGCTTCTGCCCTCCCATGCTGCCTGGAGCAGGCCTTAGTCGTCTCTGCTGTAGTGGAGCACTAGTGGGGAGCAGGGGGAAGGGCTTGATATGTCACTGAAACTGGGACCAAGTTAAGAGCACGTCCAGGGCAACAGGAGTCCATGCACGACATTCCCTCTTGTGCCCTGAATGGAAGCCACCCAGTGGCTGAGAGTATTTCCTCCCCAAGAGGCCAAAATGAGTTATTTGCTGAAGAGAAGCCTTTGCTCTTACTGCAACATGGCCATCTCCAGTGAACAGGGAGAGGAAGCATAACAGACCCTGTCCTTCATCAGCGCGATGCTGTAAGGAAGCCTCAGAACCTCTCTAGAGGGAGAGAGACCATTTACAGAGGATAGGGAGATGGATGCAAGAAGAAAGAATGGAAGTCTCAAGCTGCACTTGACCACTGGACTCCTGTGGGCAGGGCTGGGCTGGGCTGGGTCTGATGCCTTTTTGTGTTGAGCCAGAACATTTAGGGGAGTGATGAGAACAAGGTGCTGATGTGGGATTGATGGCACCCACCAGATGTGGCCATTGCACAGGTCACAAGTGTCCAGGGATGCTGTAGAGGTAACTAGACACTGAGGGCACAACTGTCACCTGGTGAAAGGCTGAGGAAGTCAGCTGGGCCCAGCCTGCCAGTGAGGGTGGAAGCTGGAGGCACCTCTGTGTGTTGGGCCAGGTCATCTGACCCCAGGTCCTGCACAGCACGCACTGCATGCTGACCTCCCTCTGCACATAATCTCAGAAGAGAATATAAGATTTCAGAAAAGCCAACTCCAGAAAGGGTGATGCTAGAGAACATGGCCAAGAAATACAGAATGTGGGTTCCAGGAGGGAAGAGGAAGAGGAGCTTTGTTGGGAGTGCTCTGGAAAGGATCACCTCATCCCAGCTGAGCAGGGTGGGGGCAACAGTGCTGAGCTAGACCAGCCCAGGCCTTGAGGACATCTCTGTCTAGATCTCCATTGGCCAAAGCAGCCCCGATGATGTGGAGATTCACAGGGCTCTGTGGAGTTTCAGAGTTGCACTGTGAATGAACAAGGATCAAGCTCACATCTAAGATGACCAATTATCGGATGGATAATGACCACCTAACTCTGGTGTCCAGAGGGCTGGTGAAATTAGTATTCTGGGAAGGGATCATGTGATAGTCTCTTTAGCTACTCCATGAATCTGGGATTACTCTATGAAACCCCCACGTTTACCCCAACCAAAAGGCAGAGTGTTGGCGCCAGCAGTCATGGCCTCACACTTTCTATACCAGGGTGTAAATTGCTCAGTGGGCATCAGAAACCTGCAGGCTCCAAAGCCACTTCTGTGAGCCTGACACTTGGTTCTGTTGACAGATGGGACAAGTCTGTTTCACCAGGGATGTGGGTCCTCTCCTAGGACTTGGTCTGCCTGTAGACATGCAGTGGCCACCCTGAGGTCTCCCTGCTTAACTCCAGCCCAGTGCCAAGACACAGGGGGCCAGCCTCTGCCCACACCTGCTTAGAGACTTTGAGCCACGTCTTCTTGAGCCGGAAGATGGCGCTGCGGTTCATGGAGGAGGTGATCTCCAGCACAGCGTTGTAGTTGTGCAGGCAGCGGCAGATGTCGGCCACAGCCACCCACTTCTCGATGGCGCTGGCCCGGGCACCGATGTCCTCGTTACGGATGATTTCAGAAGCAATCAAGTTGCTGATCTTTAAGCCAATGCAATAAAACAAGAAAAAAGTAAGAGGAATAAGTCCTGCTGAGATAATAAATCACTCTTTGCAGACAAGATCACCTGAAAATTCCAAAAGAATGCACCAGAGAAAAAACAAGGTAGCTGGGTAAGGGCTTAAACTATGAAAATAGAAGTTTTCCTATAAATTAACAATAGCCAGTTAGAGAATACAATGAAAAAGGTATCACTTCCAAAATAACAATGAGGATTGTAAATTACCAAGTGATTTAAAAGAATAAGAAACATGGAGGATGTTACATGGAAAAAAGTTAGCAAGAGTACAAAAGGCTGGAATGTTGGAAAAAAAGAGGTGAAATTTCCAAAGGGAATATAAATATGCTGCTTTTTTTTTCATAACAAATAGACATTTAATGTAACCTAGTTGAACACCCATGGGAGTCCCCTTTACACCCTCTCCAAGGGGTTCTGAGGTGCATGGGAGAAAGTAATTACCCGGCAGGTTCATGGGAGTCCTCTGCCATAAACCTGTGACAGTAGGACATACATAGATGGGAAGAGCCCCAAGGACTGTTGCACCTGGTCTGTATACACACACACACACACACACACACACACACAGAGAGAGAGAGAGAGAGAGAGAGAGAGAGAGAGAGAGAGAGAGAGAGAACAAGTCAGATGGACCTGGAGGCCTCAGAGGAGAAGCTGAGGCACAGGAATCTGGCATTTCAGGAAGTGGTACAGCAAGAAGTACTGACCTCCCTGCACATTTCCTTGCAGCTTCCAAAGTCTGCAGTTACTCTAAAGATTACTGGGTAACAGGGCACAGTAGCATATGTCTGTAAGTCCAAGATGTGCTAGAGGCTGAAGCAGAACAATCCCAAATTTGAAGCTCAATCTGGACAATGTTTTTTATGGTTTATTTATGCAGTCCTTTATTTTTCTTTTTTAATTTTTTTATTATTATTTTTTAAAATCTGGACAATTTAGTGAGTCCTTGTCTCAAATAAAATAAAAAGGGCTTGGGTATAGCCTAGTGGTAGAGTACTTGGTTAATATGAGAGAGCCTGGGTTCAATTTTTAGTTCAGAAAAACAAAACTACTTGTTATTTAAAAAAAGAAAGAAAGAAAGAAACACTCTTAAAAACAACATCAAAGGGCCAGCCAGATAGCTCAGTGGATTAAAGTGCCTGCTTAGGTAGATGCAGGGATTGGAGGTTTGATCCCTAGCCTGTCGTGCCAGCCCCACCACTGGGGTGCGCTGAAACAGCAATTGAGACTGGGTGTGGTGGCACGCCTGTAATCCCAGCACTTGGGAAACTGAAAACAGGAGAATCACTATGAGTCTGATCTGTGTAGTGAGACCCTGTAGACCCACCTTGCTATAAAAAACAAAACATCTAAAGGATGCACATAAAGAAGAAGGGATTATAGAACTACACCTGTATGAAAACAACGTAGGAGAATCAGGAAGGAACACAAAACAGTACATATGCTACATCTCTTAAGGAAGCTGAGGTAATAAGGTATCTTTCTATCATGAAAACACTGAACCTGGCTGAGGCATAGCTTGGTGATGCAGCACATATGCAGCATGTGCGTGGCTCCCAGTCCACTCCAACTGCTGACAAACAAGTAAACTATGTGCCCCAGGTGCCAGTGCTACACTTCTTTTTTGGTGCTGTGAAGCAGAATAAAAGCCCCTGCCCACAAGTACATTGCCACCACTCAGTAATATCCCTAGCCCCAAGGGATATAGGGATATAGTTCAGCAGGCATAAGTGCCTGCCTAGCAAGCACAAGGTCCTAGTTCAATCCCTGGTACTGGGGGGGGGGAGAAGAAGATAAGCCTAGCCCCAAGTTGTACTATTTTGCTGAAGGAATGAGTTAGTAAAATCTTCCAGAAAAGAGGGAAAAAGGAATACCTGCCACTGTAATCCAGGAAGCCAGCATTACCTTGTCCAATGCCAGAGACGGACAAGACAAGGGGAGAAATCGCTCACCTGCCTGTTTGGGGGGTCTCAGTGGATTGGCTCTTGGAAAAAAGAATCATCATTTACCATGTGAAAAGGGTGAAGGAGGAACACCGTGAGTCAGTATTTATTCACAGGAGAGCTCTCAGCCCTCGAGGACTTCCGCCACACACAGGGACAGTGGTTCAGCCCGTGATGAATGCCCACCGCTGGTACAGTGAGTGCTCATTTGCACACATCTTGTGCTTAGCCCGGGCCCCCGGGTTGGGCTGGGATCAGGCTGATCACAGCTGCCTGGAGCCGCGTGAGGGGCTGCACCTGCTCCGGAGGCCCTCCTGTCTCCTTCTCTCCTGGGGGACCTGGGGAGACTCACTTCACTTGTGTGCTTACTACAGAGCCATGTGGGGCTCAGCTGGGAGCTAGTGTTGTGGTCCCTGGCTTTCCCGATTCCCGTGGGCTCTGGGGTCCCTCCAGAATGGAGTGTGTTGCAAGTTATCAGATGGTATTGATGATTAAGTCAACAGAAATGAAGGGCTATAAGAGTCCTAAGGGCTGTCACAAGAATACCGTGGACAAGGAGCTGGCACTTGAGGAAATGTGAGGATGCTGTCCTGACAGATCTTCCCTCAGACAGCCAACTCCCCCGTACTGCCACAAGGTCTTGGAGACCCTTCAGGACCTCACTGATGAGATCAGCTTGTCTCTGAGCTGGGGTGACCACTGTGCAGAGAAAGCACAGTGCTAGGCACAGGCAGAGCTCAGTCAGGGCAGCCACTAGCTCACTGCAGGCCCTGGCAATGGGCCGTCGTGTGGGTGTTGCTGCGGGAGATTCTGGGACCTGTCTGTCCAGGCACTGCTCCCAGGTGTTCTTATTTCCATACTCGAATGCATCAGCCAAGGACCCTTGTGCCCCGTACAGGGGTGCTGGGCTTGCTCTTGTCCCTCAGGATGGCTGGGCTGGTGTCAGGACAAAAGGCTGTGGAGCAGGGTACTCAGCATGTTGAGCCTGCCAGGGACACTTAGGAGCATCCACACAGGTTTGGCCTTGCGCTCAGCAGCTCTGGGGCGTCTGTTTTGGGGTTACCCTGCTGGGCCATCTTGCTCACCATGGAGGGCCCCCTGGGGGCCTTATCCCCCCCCCAGGGCAGCAGATACTCTCGACTGGAACACAGCAGGTTCGGAGGTCTCAGGCATGGCACACATGAGAGGGATGCCTCCTGCCTCTGCCAGTCCAACTGTGCATGTTTTGAACACCAAGATGCCGCTGCGCTCCACTCACCCTTCCCGTCTATCTGTCCAGCCCTCATGGTGCCTGCTCTGAGGACTGAGCCTGCTTTCCCCAATTGGTTGCTGGAGCCAGCATGTCTGGAACCCCTGTGATTGTTCCAGTTAACTTCCATGTGACTCCTAAGTGTCCCCACTTGACAGATCGAGGTGAGGCCACACGGGTGCCCAAGGAATAGGCAAGCCTGGATCCCACCATCCTCCGCCCACATGGGCCCTGCCCAGGAAAGGTGAGAAGTCAGGGAGAGGGAGGCGGGCCGCCTGCACTCACATCGTTGAAGTGCTTGGTGGTCTTCATGATGTAGGGGGTCCTCTCGTTCTTCTCCAGCTTCATCCAACCCTGTCCAAAGAACTCCCTGCAGGAAGGAGCAGGGCCAGCATGTGCAGTCAGGGCTGCTGCCCATTTCATGCCACCTGTTTCTTTGCCATTTGAGGGTGTCATTTCTGGGGCATGCCCCTCTGCCAGGCCCTGGGCTAATGCTGGTCTCTGCCTCAAGCAGGCTGCAAGGTTTCAGGCTTCCTGTGACCTGGCTCTTGGGTTCCTGTCTGCACACTTCCTCAGGGGTCAGTGCGAAGCTGGTGGGACATGCGGAGTGGCCCAGTGTTGGCTGTGGATTTGAGGAGGGGGCCTTCTTTGTGGTAGGGAAAGTGCTGTGTCAGTCACCTGGTGGTGGCTGAGGAGATCAGGGAGCTAGAAGACCACACAAAAGGACAGGGAAAAAGATAAAGGGTTCCCAAAGGCGTCCCCTCACCATTCTAATTCTGTGCACACACGTGCACATGCGCGTGCACACACACACACACACACACAAAAACCCATGTGTACATATACATAGACACAGACTCTCTAGACCTTCAGAGTGGAATCTCTGAGTTAGAGATACTTGTGGGGAGGGAGAGAGTGAGGGGGTGAGTGCGTGAGAGCATGTGTGTGTGTATGCACACATGCACGCTGCTCACGGCAGGAGAGAGCTGGGCAGGCTGAGTCCACAGCTCTTGAGTGTACCCCTGCCCCGGGGATGGGTTGCAGTCATGCTGAAGAGCTGGGCCTGGGCTTACTCGTAAGGAATCTTCTTGAAGACCAGGTGGTCCAGCAGGGTCAGTTGCTCTGCAATTTCCAGGGCTGAGTGGTTCTCAAAGGGCTCCGGCTTCATGCCTTCTGCCTGGGGGCAAGTTGTCAAGTTAGGGCTCAAGATACTTGGGCTTTGGCCATGGCTGGGGATGAGCTGCAGTGGATGGAGGTAGGACCCATGCTGCAGAACCACTCTGGTCCACATTCACCCCACCCAGGAGCTACCATCACCTTGCATTCAGACAAGCCGCTGAGGCCACAGAGGCCAGGGAATGGGTCTAGGAGCTCTGGAGCTCAGGCTTGACTTGGCTGTGACAGGTGGCATGAGTGCTCCTATCTGCCCAGAGCATAGCCACTGGCTTGAGTCCAGGCTACTGGCCTTGGGAAGTCCCTGCAGACACCATCTTTAAGGGTGCCCACCAAACCAGGGCCCTCAAACAGGAAGTCTCAGGATCCATTGTCTGGGGACAGTGGTAGCCACAGCAGGGTTCTGGGGAGGAGGATACCAGCCTCCTGGGAAGGATCTGGGAGAGGCTGGCAGGAACTGGAGGTAGAAAAGGGACAACAGAGCTGTGTGCACTGAGGGAGAGGCCAGGAACAGATTGACATATCCTCAGGATGCAGGGCCATTCAGGAGAAGACAGCCAGACCCCACTCAGGACTTCTGCTTTCTGTGCTCACCACCCTGCCTCGAGGTCCAAGGGGAGGTCTCCATGCATCTGTCCCAAGTATCCCTGGCCCCAAGATGCAGTAGGAGGAGCTCAAGGTGGCCCACAACAGCACTCCACTACGTCTACTGGCCGCGAGAACATGGGCCCTTCTGGGCACCAGCACTAGCTCATGATCCGTGGTGGCCCAGCTGCCGGGCCTGTCCCTTCCAGGCAGGCAGTGAATGGGCAGAAAGCACATTCATCTACAGCTCCGGCGACCCAGCCTCTTGCCCCTTGGCCCCTCAGCAGCTGTGGGCATATGAGTAGGGTGCAGTATGCACACGGGCAACGGCAAATCTTTTGTGACGCGGAACCCCTGGCTCTCGAGTCCTAGAAGCCTCTGTGAGGTCACCCTGTGGACCATGCCACCTGTTTCCCACACACAGGCATTCTTGTGAGGCAGATAAGGCTCAAGCTGAGCTAAAGAGACCTTCCAAACTCTTACAGTCATCACCCCGCACCATCCCCACGTGGGCTTTCCACCCTGGCAGTGTGCATCCTCCCTCAGAAACTTGCCTACTGCCTTTCTGAGCACGTACCCAATTTGCATTATTTTTTATTTTTTTATTTTTATTTATTTATTTTTCTGAGGCACAGCTCACCTGGTAGCTCTGGCTGGCCACACAGAAATCCTTCTGCCTTAGCCTCCCAACTGCTGGGGTTACAAATGTGAACCACCATATCTGGTTCCAATCTAAAACTCTGTCATCCTTTCCTCTACTCAGTAAATTCTTTCACTGTCTGGGTCACTGGAGATCTAGCAAAGGGCCACACCCCAGCTCCATGGCTCAAGGCGGTGTGGGGCGGGGAGCAAACCAGGCCTGCATGTGGATGACAGACGGCCACTGCTGCACTCCACGCACAGCCTCAAGTGGGCCACAGAAGTGTCCCACAATTCAGCGGCCTCAATTGTGCAGTAGTGTGTGCTTGCAGGACACTTGACAAGTTATCTGAACTCTTCAGGAATGCAACAAGGTACCAGCATGGAAGGACAACCATCAAGTCCCTGCCTTCCTCCCAGGGCAGAGTGGCAGGAAGAGCTGAGGGGTGAGGAGAGCAGGGAACCTGAATGAAGAAAGGGGTGCCCAGTGAGCTGCTTTGTCCCCCAGTAAAGGCATACCAAAATGCCAGCCCCAGTGCCCAGAGAGTGGCCTCCTTTGGATAGTCTCTGCTGATGCGAAGGCAGCCCTGACCCATATGTCTGGCATCTCTAGAAGGGCAGATGCCCTGGGCAGGGTAGTACGTGCATGCAAGCCCAGTACTCCCAGAAGCCGAGGCAGGAGATTTGCTGGGGAAGCACCTCATTCTGAAGGCCCTGGGCTCAATCTGCCAGGAAGGAGGAGAGATACACACAGAAACAGATCTGCACAGAAGCCAGACTGAGGGAGAAGACTGCCACATGCCCATGGCAACAGACTGGATGATGCACCCATGAGCTAGGTGTGTGGGGCCAGCAGAGCTCCCCGGGCAGGGGCCTCCAGAGAGTTAGGGCTAGTGTCAGGCCCTGCTCACACCTTCTTTCAGACATTGGGCCCCCAGATCAGAGGATACATTTCTGTCACTTAAGCCATTCAGCCTGGGGCCCTGTCACGGCAGCCATAGGAAATGGATGTCGGAAGTCACTGTACTCAGTCAGGGCGCATGGCGGGGAGGGCAGCCCTGCTCACCATCTGTGTGATCTCCTCCAGCGTGATCTGGTTGTCGCCAGGGTCCTCCTGGGTCAGAGTCCTGGGGGCAGAAGGTGGGTGAGTCCCCAGGTCCCCTAGAGGGTGGCTGCTGGCCACCACCTCAGCCAGGTGGATGCCTGCTGTCTCCCTAGGCCTCTCGCCCAGCCCCAGGCTTCCTGCATGCTGCTGTACCCTGGTCTGGCCCTGAGGGACCTGGCAGGCCTGCAACTGTGGCTGGCACACAGCAGGAACAACCACACGCTTGGTAGAGAAGAGGATGCCTAGGAGAGCCCGGAGCCTGGGCCTGGATGGTGACCTCAGGCATGGCACTGGCCAGAGAGCAGAAGAGGAGTGCAGCAGGTGACTGGGCCTAGACGTGGCTGAGATGAGGAGAAGAGGAAGAGCGAGGTGGCCGGGTGAGCAGGCGGGTGCTGAGCAGTGGTGGGGAACGAGACTGGTACAGCATAGTGATGCACTCAGATGCTTGCCTGTGAGTGCTGGCGATGGCCAGTGGTCAGGCTGGGCAGTGGAGGGTGAGTTGGCCTGGGCTGCAGGTGGGGCAACCACTGTGGCACAGCAGGGTGCAGCCCAGGACAGACCCTGAGAGCCATCTCACCCCACTGTGTCCCAAGCAGCAGGATGAGCTTTGAGTCCTGGGTGGCCTTGAATACTGTGGTCAGGACAGTGGAAAGTTGGGGCAGCCTGGGAATCTGTGGTCCTCGAACAATATAGAGGAGTTGAGGGCTTGGGGCTCACATCACACAGAGTGAGGGATGGGCCAGGTGGCTCGGCTTGGGACTGCTGGAACAGGAGAGTCAAGAGCACGCAGTGTAATGGAGCTGAGCCGAGCCCCAAGAACAGCTTTGCCAGCTCTGCACCCTGAACTCTGCAGGATGGCAGGGGCACAGTCATGAGCTGCTTATGTGACCAAAGACCTGGATTTCAGTTTTACCCACTTTTAATGAACAAAGATTGAAGCAGCCAGCTGTGTATAAGTAGTGCCTAGCACTGTGGGACCCAGGCACCAGTGGCCTGGGCATGAGGAGGTCAGGGCTGCTGGGGAGGGGAGGCAGGGCGCACATGGGTAGCATCCACATAACCCTGGGCTCCTCTGTACCCTGAGCCTGCTTCCCCAGGTTACAGGATGTCTTGTCGGGATGGGTCCCCTTGCCTGCCTGGCTCTGGCCTGTAGTGAAGGCAAAGGTTGGCTGGCTGGGCCTACATGGCTCTGACCTGATAATGTTGGCTGCAGCCTTCCGTTCCTGTGTCAGGAGCTCGGGGTCATGCATGACCCCCTCCAGGAAGCTGATCACCTTGCACTTGAGCTCACTGTTGGTCTCGAAGTCCTGTGGGAAGAAGACAGACTGTGTGGTACTGGCTGTGGCTGTCAGCTGCCCGAGGTGGTTAGGGCAAGGCCTGAGGAGGGACTCTGTTCTGTCTCTGCCCATGGCAGGCTGCCTTTTTTGTCATCTGGGACACAGTGGGGCTGTGACACTCTTGGACACAGGTGTTTGGCAGAGAGCCAGGATACACAGGCCAAGGAGGAGCTAGCCCCCCTTTTTCTTCTTTTGGCTTTTAGAGATAGGGTCATGCTATGCAGTTCAGGCTGTTCTTGAGCTCACTGTGGAGCCCAGACTGGTCTAGAACTCACAACGATCTTCCTGTCTCAGTCTCCCAAGTGCTGAGATTACAAGTGTGACCACCATGCTTCTCAAATGATTGTGACCCTCTCCCCTGGGCCCAGGATGTTCTTCTGGGTATGCTGGGGCAGCTGAGCTCTGCCCACCTGAGCATGCTTGGAGACCCAGTGGCGGAGCACATTCAGCACGCGGTTGGTGGCTGCTCTGCGGATCACAAACTCCTTGTCCCCATTCCTCTGGTCAGGAGGGAAGCCTGGCATAGAGGACAGGGAGAGAAGCCACATGGGGACAAGGTACCGGCTATGGCCTCCCAGGAGACACAGGCCAACCCCCAGCCTCAAGCTCTCTGTCATTCTGGGGCTGCAGGGCAGTGCAAGCAGTGAAGGATCGTTGGGGCCTCCTGAGACCACAGTGCTGGGGGCAGGGTAGGGACTGTGGCCTCTGATGTGTACAATCTGTCCCAGAAGCAGAAGGGCCAGGGAGAAAGCAGGTGGGAGGGCATGCTGGGTGGCTAGGAGAGGGTGCCCGCCTGGACATGCCAGGCGGCTTGGCCAGGCTTCCACCCTATTGGTGGTGGGCAGGGAGGATGCAGGATAGGTCGGCTCTAGGTGGGGTGCAGGTCTGGGTGCACAGAACCCCAGTAAGTGCAGGGGTTGGGGCTGAGTGCCAGTACCTCCAGGCGCTGAAGGGGGCAAAAGTCCAAATAATGATGTAGGAAGCTCGGTGTCCCGTGAACAAGAGTGATCGGCCGAAGCAGGGAGCTCCGCAGGGGTCCTAGCAGGTCCCCGCCCGCCACAGGCCCATCGTGTGGCCACTTCAGGAGGACCAGGGAGCAGAGATGCTCGCACACCTACGCTGGCTAAGGACATCCTCCGGTACTTCTCTTTGTTTGGGGTGCCCTCGTTGGCCCCTGCAGTTGCTATGGCAAAGGCAGAGGTGGCTGACAGGGCACTGCGGTTACTGTCCAGCTCGCGACAAGAGGTCATCACAACTCCATTGTTGTAGGAGAACAGCGGAAACTCTGAGGATGGGAGGGACCCACCATTAGCTGCTCCTTGTCCCAGCCCCAAGGACGGGTTCTTGGGGGCCTCCAGGAAGGGGCACCCATCACACCCCCAGCCACCTCCTGCCTCAGCAGAAGGTCTCCTCCTGGCTTTCCATCCTCAGACCCAAGCTCTCTTGCCTGCTCAGCACAGGAGTGGACACAGCCCATCTAAGGTCTGAGGTTCCTAATGCACATGGTGTGCTGGAGAGAGCACTGCACCAGAGTCCACTCCTGGGTCTGAAAGTCTCCACCCCACTAGCTGTGTGACCTTGTGCAAGTGTCCCAGCCTCTGAGACACAATGACCTTCGGATAATACCTACTTCTACAGATGAAAGTAAGGATTAAAAGAGACAACACTGATGAAAGTACTTTGTATTGGGGGAAAAGCAGGGTAAATACCCTGGAATACCACTGCTAATAATTCAGCTTCATCCTATGAGTCCAGACTCACACTCGGCCGCTAGCAGCCAGCTGGCCTCAGCTGTGCAAGAAACAGACTTTCTTCTGAGCAGGCCCTGAGTGTGTGTGTGTGTGTGTGTGTGTGTGTGTGTGGTGTGCGTGTGTGCACATCGTTGTGTGTCCACTGTGGGCCAGGTTGTCTCTCTCAGCCAGGTGACTGCTGCTCTTCAGAAGCCTGGGACTCAGCTGCCCCCAAGCGGGTGGTGGCCCGAGCCCCGGCAGACCCTGGCATCTCTCTTAGGGTCCCCACAAGGGAGCCTGACTGCCATGTAGACACGGCCATGCCTGACATCAGTGATTCCTGAGGTGAGAACAGGGTGTACTCAGCCACGCCACCATCGTGCTGGGGCTCTGGGACTTCAGGGCTCGCAAGGACCAGAGCTGAGGCCAGGTGCTCTCCTTGGCCTGACCATCACCCCTCCCCACAGGCCTCCATTTGTACCTGAAGAATTTTTGCTTTTGACCGACTTGGGTGTTGTTGGGGATTTCGTTGGTGATGTCTCCGCATCCCCCTCATCGCTCTGGTTTTGATCAGTATCTAACTCTTCTCTTACGGAGAATTCAGAGGCTAGGAGAAAATTTAAAAAAATGCTTTTACTTTTCTCAATTACTTATTGATTTGAATATTCACATCTATAATTTATGGAAGCAGAACAGAGTAAGTGGAGGATATTCTGGATGGAGAAAGTTTCACAGCTTTACTGGCCACAGAGCTCTGGGCTCCTCATGTTAGTGGGCACTGTGAGCCTCCAAGTGGGCTTTGCTTGGGCCAACCTTCCCAGGCACAGCTTTGGTCTGGCCGAGTGCAGATCCCGGCTTGACCCCTGCCTTTCCTGAGGCCCAAGAGCTCCAGGACACCACACCTTTGTGCTTCCCTGTGTCCTGCAGTGCTGTGGGCCCAGCATCTGCACACATGCACTTGTGCTTGTACTCTGCCCTGGTGTGGGTGATGAATCACTGTCTCCCTAATCCTGAGACTGTAGTCTGTACCCTCTGGGAAGGCAGATGCCTCATGCTGAAAATCCCATTGTGGCACAGCAAGTTCTTGGCCAAATATTCTACTTGCTCTGAGCTTCAGTTTCCCACCTAGAAAGTGAAGAAAGAGGTCTGGCCAGACAGCTCAGAGAACTAAAGTGCCTGCTTAGGCAGAGCACAGTGGGTGAGGTTCGATTCCCAGGTGTGCCACACCAGCCCTGTCCCTGGGTGCACTGAAATGGCGATTGAGACTAGGTGTGATGGCACATGCCTGTAATCCCAGCACTTGGGAGGCTGAAAACAGGAGAGTCACTATGAGTTCCATCTACATAGTGAGACTCTGTCGACCCTGTACTAAATACATTAAAAAAAAAGTGAGTGCATTTATGTATGACCTCTAAAAACCCAACCAAGGGCACAGGTTGTCTTTTTAGAAAAGAATGTTTGCAAGAGCACACAATTAGAGAAGAAGAGGCCTGATCCCAGAAGACTCTAGCACTGTCTGGACTCATAAGGCAGCAGCTGGGCTCAGCAGGGCTCCTGCTGTGTGGAACTCCATGGCTTCTGCTGGTCCCCTGGGGCTTGCTTGCTGCATGCCAGAATGGCACTGGGGCACTCTGGTGGCTGTTCCCTGGGTTGCCAGCTTTCAGCTGCCCAAGTCCTGCAGTCAGCTATCTGTGGAATGTGGCGTGATGACCCAGCTTCGATACTGGCCCACTGTGCCCTTGCTGGGTGTCCTGGCCCTCTCACTCAGAAACCCTGGCTACCTCAAAGTACTTTTAAAAAGCTTCCTTTCAAAGCCAAGGTGCTGCACATGTGTGTTCCCGCACTACCCAAGGCTGGGTGGTGTTCCCCAGGCTACGACCTGGTCTGCACTGAAACAGAACCACCTCGGAGCCTGCCAATGTGGCCAGAACAAGTGCAACAGCAGGCCTGTTCTGGTGCACACCTCTGCCTCTTCAGCATTCCCAGGCAAGCTGAGGTGTAGGCTGTTCCTTGGACAATGTTCCTCCTTGTTCTTCAGCCCTTCACACTGCTCTTGTCTGGCACATTCTCTCTTCCTCCACTGTGGATCCAGGGGAGCTCTCTCCAACTCCAACTCCTGACTCCCTGGCACCCGCTCTGCCCATGCTCTGCACCTGTGGGTATCTCTCTAACAGGACATATATCAGGTATGCAAATCTCCAGATTTGGTCTGGTCCCTGAGCCAGACAGAGTCCTGGAAGGTGGGACCCAGCTAGTAACCCTTTGCTTCTGGGTCCTGAATGGGCCTGGCTCAGGACAGGTCTGCTGCAGGTGCAATGAATGCAGGGACTTCAGCTGATACATTGACCCATTCTGCTGAAGATGGTGCTGACACTTATCTAGGCATGGTGACCCCCTGGGGACTTCTGCCTGCCGTGCCCAGGCAGCACCCATAGAGGCCCTCCTTGTCTCACCCACACTAGTGCTGGTATGACCTGAGGGACCTGTTCCCTTTCCTCCTGCTGGGAGCCTGAGATGTGGCACCTGTTGCCTTGGTGATGCATGTGTGCCTACAATCACTCACTCTGCTTGTTGGGAGCAGAGGGCTCTTCAGGTCTCTCTGGAGTTGTGTCACCCTCGTCCGGAATCTTGCTGGTGAAATTGCTGGACACGTAGAGCTTGCTGGTGTCCAGTGTGGCCTTGCTGAAGGGAGACATGACTGAGTACATGCTGGTGTAGCCATTGGAGCTGCAGCTGAGGGCAGCCAGATCCAGGGCCTTGCCGCCTGTGATGATAGGGATGTTCAGGGACAGCTTCCGCCGGCGGCTGGGGGAGGATGTGCTGATGGACAGCGGCGGTGGTGAGGAGAACTTGCGAGTGGCACGTGGAGACTTGGGGGGTTCACCGTACAGGAGTTTGTTGTTCTGGCCGCTAGCAAATAGAAGCTCCAGTGACCTAGGGGAGCCAAGGTGGAATGGGTAAATGACAGTGGGTTGGGGGGTCATGATCGGAGGACCCCCTAGTGGGGCTGGTCCTCACAGCAGGGACCCTGTGACAAAGAGCCTCAGCATATATTCACAGACGCAGCGTCTTGCTTGTGGGGGCCCAGGAAAGAGTCGCTTTTTGTGCTCACCCTTCTGCCACTCTCACACCAGGCTGCTCCATCCTCCTACTTGGTCTCCATCCTTTCAAACATCCCCAGGGGTGCCTTAGCACAAGGAAGCTGAGGCTTGGGGACAGGAAGGGACTGACCTGGTGATTCTGAGCTCAACATCCCCCAGATGACACTCGAAGCAACCTCATGTGCACCTCTGGGTTGGGGCGGGTGGAAAACTGGGCTCAGAGCCCTGAGTTCACGTCCCCACTCAGCCAAAAACCTCAGGAGCCTGGGCTGAGTCTCATGGCCTTTCAGGGCACCTGAGGGTCATTGGCATTTCTGAGTGGCAATGGCCAGGCAGGAAGGACAGCCTTGAGGTCAAGACTATGTAGCCTGTCCTCCACATACTATGCCCCCAGATATACCAAAAAGAGCTTGCTCTTTCCCCCTGAAGCAGGGCTGGGTCTGAGAAGTGCACAACAAACTTTTCTTCCTTCCTTTACCAGCAGCACAGGGCCCTGGGCATCTCAGAGGGGTTGAAAGTGGAGAAGAAGGAACATGTGCTAGGACTCCCAGTGCAGGGGAGGGAGGGCGGCTCCCAGCTCTCAAGCCCCACATGCTCTGGACCCTAACACGCCCTGCTGTGCTCTGCAGCTGAGTGCCCCCCAACACATGGGCAGCCTCTCCTGCTTGGAGGCTGGAGGCCCAGAGTGCCCACCTGGCAGGGATGGCGCTGATGGGCCTTCTGTAGATGGCGATGAGTTTGTCCAGTACCACAATGGCTGAGGTGAAGACACGGTAAGAATGCAGGAAAGTGTTGAGGAAGTCGATGCTCAAGAAGCGCAGATCAGTGAGCCGCTCCAGCAGCCGCTCGACGCTGGCATACCGGATCTGCAGCACTTTGCAGGAGTTCATGGTCTTGCTGAAGCGAATGTCAACATCATCACAATACAAGGAGGCATCAGATCTGAGGAGGACAAGGAGGGAGGCTTTGAGGTGCTGGGCCCCACATCTGTCCCTTCTGACCCACAGGGAGCTCCTAGGACCCTGGATACAAATCCCTGTTCCTGTTGGAACCCACAGCTCAGGACAGTACTTCTGCCATGGAAGTGGAAGGGATGAAAGGGATGCTCAGCATGGCGCCGAGGAGGCCCGCGGGCCCTTTCCATGCAGCACAAAGATATCCGGCCATTCAAAGGAATGAAGCCCTGACCCACAGCAAACATGGACAGACCTCAAGGGTTCTCACTAGTGAGACCTGTAAGACCACACGGGCGGTAGCTCTGCACACAAACAACCTAGGCAGGAGGTCTACAGCAAGAGCAGGCTGGGCATCGCAAGGGAAGGGGGACCAACTGCTAATATTGTGGAGTCTCTCTTTGGGTGATGGAAGTATTCTGCAGTTAGATGATGACAATGTCTCTGGTGAGAGTGGCTTTCGGCTTCTGAGATAAAGCTTGGGCCTCACATGTAGACGCTGAGAGGGCACAAAGCCCACATTGCACAAAGCCTTATGTAGGAGTTTATTCTTGTTTATGAGGACAAACCTGAATGTGACCCACTCTAAGGCCCCATTTCTTAATATTATGATGTTGATAACACCTGAATTTTGGAGAGGCCACATTTAAACCATGGTAGAGCCATGACAATATGAAGCGATAATGACCTAAACTCTCCCAAACTAGATTAAAGTCATTGATCTGCATATTCAAGTAGCTCCACAGCTCCCAAGTAGGAGAAATGAGACCCACAGCCAGACACACAGTCAAGCTTCTGAAAGAACACATGAAGAGAGCACGGAGCAGGAGAAGTGGCAGTGGCACAGGAGATTCACAGCCCAATTGAGAGCTGACTTCTCGGAACCCTCAGAGGTGGTGGGATAACAGATTCAAAGTGGAGAGGGAAAGATGTTCGAGAGAGAATCTTACATCCAGCCAGATGGCCTCTTAAAAATCAAGGTAAATCTCTAATGTATGTCACAGAAGCATCTTTTCACATGCCAAGTTGCTGTCTGTGTCTCTGGTGAGATGTCTGTTCAAGTGTACACCACAATAGTAACTGGCTTGTTTTTTCAGTTTTGAAGTCTAGAGTTCTGTGTACATTAGATACAAGTCCCTCCCCCTATAGATAATGGCAACAGTTGTACAACATAGAAAATATACTAAAATCTAATTAATTGTACTCTCTAAAATGATGAATTGTAGGGGCTGGGGTGATAGCTCAGTGGTTTAAGCACCTGCCTGGCAAGTGCAAGGTCCTGAGTTTGATTGCTGGTACTGAAAAAAAAAAGTGAATTTTAGCTCATATTATAATTTTAAAAAGATTAACAAGGGCAAAAAGAAAATATAAGGAATTTCTAGGCACCAAAAACAAAAGAAAAATCTGAAAACCAGTGACAACGCTGCTGCCTTGAAGGCACCTGCAGCTCACAAGGTAGTCGGACTGGAGTGCTTGTCTAGATGCACAAGACCCTGAATTCAATCCCCAGTATTACACAAAACAGTAAATACATAAAATCATGGGGAGTCACTCATGTAGAACTGGGACATGGGGAGGCCTGTGGTCACTAGGAGGCCCGCCCACTAACGGCAGGTGGAAAGCCCTTTGGATTCTGCCCCAAGGATGTCTGAGCTGTGCACAGAGGTTGTGGAGTACAGATGTGTGCCGCTGTTGCTTAGGAACCTCACGTGAGAGTGCAGAAGAGATGCACAGGCTGTGATTCCCTCGCACACCCAGCAGGCACTTCCTGGACAGGCAGCTCTTCACCAAGTTCTACAAGACATTCACAGATAAAGCCATGTGGAGCACAGCTCATGACCCAAAGGAACCAGTCTACTTCAAGGAGATGACAGACTGCTGAACTGGATTGCCCAGAATCTAATTTTTTATAAGTGTGGAAACTCTACTACCCTTTGCTATGAGCCAACCAGCAACAGTATCTAAACCTCCTGAGCATGCGAGTCCTTCATGCAAAGTCAGCAGCTCTGGATGCCTCCTCTCCTCAGTTCTGCAGGCCAAAGGACAAAGCTGGCTGTGTGATGGTCCCTTACAAAACACCAGCCACAGCTGGAAAACAGCTCACAGTTTATGGCTCCTCCACCTCTTCAGTCTGTGCTGGGGAGGTCATCGTGTCCTTGACCCTCACTGGTTGCATGATACACTTTAGAGCCAGTCTACAGCCAGCAGTGGATCAGCTGGACTTGGCTGGGCCCAGGGTGGGCCTATCTGTGTGTTATGCTGGTCAAGGCTGCATGGAGTCCGGCCATCTGAGGCTGGCCGGACAGACCCCAGGCCTTCTCAGGGACGTTCCAGGACAGGCCTGGTGGCAGGTTGTCAGGACACAGAGATGTGTGGAGTGCAGCCAGCCAAAACACAGTGGCCAAGAGCGGAGGTCCCCAGCAGTGGGAAGTGGCCACCTCTCAGGGGATAAGGCCCATGGCACCCTGCAGGCAGAGCCACAGGGGACGCATTTCAGGGCTTGTACAGGGCTTCTTTTTCTGTAGCAAGGACTCTTGAGCAAACGCGGTTTACATTTTCCAAGCACTGTGAGTCTGTAGTCTTGTTTCGCTTTTACTGCTAACACCCAGAGTTTTGGAATGAAGTCTAGTGTTCACTTTTCCTTCCTTTCTTCCTTCTTTCCCTCTCTTCCTCCTTTCTTTCCTGTATGTTTACTTAATGACTGCTTTAAGGAAACCAAGCACACAGATACAGCAGTGATTTTGTTTATATCATGTAAAATATAATAATCTATTAAAAGTACCAGTTTGTATTTTTTCATTAAGGAGTAAGATGTGCCTTTTAAACTAACTCAGTATTTTCTTGGCTTTTGTTTAATATCATAGAAAGTAACACTCTGTTCACTTAATGACCACTTGACTGCAGGCGTCTGCGACACGGATGCACCACAGCTCTTTTTCGCAGCCCTCCCCTTCATCTCCTGGTCCCCTCCATTCTGCAAAAGATCTACCTTCCTACTTCTTGTGATTTACCTTTTATTTTTATTTATATTTTGGATTTTTCCTATGAGAAGAACCACATGGTATTTAAATGTACATGTCTGATTTTTTTTTAATATTTCTTTTATTATTTATTTATTTTTACATTTATTTAGTGTGTGTGTGTGTCCAGCTCAGCCCACCAGGGGGCGGGGTTGGCTGGCATGTGGTGCTGGGGGATCGAACCGTGGTCCCTGTGCTTTGCCAAGCTTGTTCCAAGTAGGTGCTTTAGACCTCTGAGCCATCTCTCCAGCCCTACATGTCTGATTTATTTCACTTAACATGATGTTTTCAAGGAACATCTACTTTCCTAAAAATGATTCAAATTTACCCTTCTTTATAGCACAGTAGTACTCTACTGTGTACAAATACACATGTTCTCTATCCATTCATTTACTGATGCACATACAGGCTGATTCCAGATTAGCTATTATGAATTGTACTGCTATAACCATGTACACGGGTATGTGTGTTTCACTGTAATACGTCTTTTTTTTGAGACTAGTTCTCACTATGCAGTCCAGGCTGACTTTTTGCTGCTGTTGTTATTTGTTTTTTTGTTTGTTTTTGTTTTTTAAATTTTATTTATTGTGTGTGTGTGTGTGTGTGTGTGTGTGTGTGGCCAGTTCAGCCCACCAGGGGGCGGGGCTGGCTGGCATGTGGTGCTGGGGGATTGAACCGTGGTCCCTGTGCTTTGCTAAGCTTGTTCTAAGTAGGTGTTTTAGACCACTGAGCCATCTCACCAGCCCTGTTGTTATTTGTTTTTAAGGACACATTTATCCAGTGTCACGATCAGACTGTTACATTTAGCAATCAATAGCATGGGTACAAAAAATGGTCTACATTAAAACCATTTGTTGGAATGCTTTACACTTCCCACAGAACAGAAACTAAAATAACCTTTTACACAATTAGTTACAAATACAGTCTTCGAGTTTTTTGCCCATACCCATGAGTATTGTCTAAAATATGTCTTCTTTGTAGCAGCTGGGCCCTGCCACCATCGTGCTTGGCTGAATTCACAAATCTGTTGGAACCTGTAGTTTCCCTGTCACTTCTCTGGCTCTCCTCTCCTGCTAAGCTTTGTTTCCTGAAAGTGTTTAAAGCCTTCTGCCACTGCCATAGCTACTGCTGCTGCTGGAGCCACCAGAGCCACCTTGATTTTGTGGTTTAAAATACTGGCCTCCACCACCATAAGGCCCAGAGCTTTTGCCTCCAAAGTTTATTCCCTTTGTGAGTCCAAAATTTGAAGGCTGATTGCAGTAATTGCCAAATTCATTGTAGCTTCCACCACCTCTATAACTGCTTCCATTATTACCAAGTCCACTGTAGCCATCTCCACTGCCAACATATCCACCCCCACCATGGCTGCCACCAAAGTCACCTTAACCACTGAAGTTTCCTTGGCACCCAAAACTGCCATTGCAACCAAAACCACCTCCACAGCCACCACCAAAATTTCCAGAACCATTCCAACTTCTTTGGCTAGATGAAGCGCTAGCCGTCTCCTGCTTCAATAGCACTTTCCTCACTTCACAGTTGTGGCCGTTCACAGTGCGCTATTTTCAAACAACAATCTTATCCACAGAATTACAGTCATCAAATGTTACAAAAGTAAAGCCCCCTTTCTTTCCACTGCCTCGGTCATCATGATTGCAATCAGTTCAATTTTTTTCCATACTGTTCAGAATAATCTTGTAGGTGATGCTTTCAGTATCTTCTCTTAAAGAAGAAGCATTAAGAGACGCTCTTCTTCACCAACAAAGCTCTTCTTCACTGATAATTAGGAAGCTGGTCTTTGAGAATTTTCCCTTGAGATACCTGTCTTGGTTCCACACCTCTTCCCTCCTCTTTGTGCAGCCCTGCATTTACGTCTGCAACCACTTCCTCCTCAGTGGTGGAAGTGACAGACCAGCACTCTCTGGAGCATGTGAGGCTGTGATCTCTCATTACCGTGCACTCTGAGTGTCCA